AGGACTTGAACAGACACTTCTCCAAGGACATGCAGAAGATCCAAAGACACATGAAACAATGTTCAATATCGCTAGCTATCAGAGAGATGCAAATTAAAATCACAATGAGATACCACTTCACACCAGTCAGAATGGCCATCATAAATAAAGCAACAAACAACAAGTGTTGGAGAGGTTGTGGAGAAAAGGGGACCCTAGTGCACTGCTGGTGGGACTGCAGACTGGTACAACCACTATGGAAAGCAGTTTGGAACTTCCTCAGAAAACTAAAAATGGATCTGCCTTTTGACCCTGCAATTCCACTGCTGGGATTATATCCTAAGAACACTAAAACACCAAAAGAAAAGAACCTTTGCACCCCGATGTTCATAGCAGCACAATTGACAATAGCTAGGTGCTGGAAGCAACCTAGATGCCCATCAGTAAATGAGTGGATCAAAAAACTATGGTACATTTACACAATGGAATTCTACGCAGCAGAAAGAAAGAAGGAGCTCCTACCCTTTGCAACAGCTTGGATGGAGCTGGAAAGCATTATGCTTAAGCGAAACAAGCCAGGCAGTGAAAGACAAATACCATATGATCTCACCTTTAACAGGAACCTAAACAACAAATCAAACAAACAAACAAAATATAACCAAAGTCACTGAAATAGGGGACAGACTGACAGTGACCAGAGGGGAGAGAAGAGGGAATTTCAGGGGAGAACGGGAAGGGTTTACAAGAACAAATTTAAAGGACACATGGACAAAAGCTAGGGGGAGGGTGGTAATGGGAGGGAAGTGGGGAGGGGTGGGTGGGTAGGCTGGAATGGGAGTAAAAGGGAGAAAACTGTACTTGAACAATGATTAAAATAAAACTTAAAAAAAGAAAAAAAGAAGTACAAATAGGTGGTTACAGAATAGCCATGGGGATGTCAAGTACAGTTGCCAAAGAACTTATACACATTACCTGCGGAAATGAACAAGGTTGGGGGGATTGCCTGAGGGAGTGGCAGGTGCTGGGAGGAGAGGGGCAAAGCTGGAAAAATCAGGACAACTGTAATAGCATAGTCAATGCAATATAATTAAAAAAAATTCTTGGGCCACATTCTAGAAAGGACTACTGTGTGTGACTAGCTGTGCATTTCCTTTCTGAGGTCATGCCTGGGCTACTTTTACAAAACTATTAGTAGTGAGGTCTGTAAACCAAATTACAAAAATAATTAGAAGTTCCAGCTCTGCTTCTGACTCATGTCTCACTTGACCTTTGAGTCCAGTCTCTCAAGCCAAGCATCACAGATCAAATAGTTTCTAAGGTTCTTATCCCCGTTAATATTGTGATTTCCCAAACTGTTTATTACGGAGCAGTTGAAGTGGCATGCAGGTACCAGTTGTCAACAGCAGAGGGCACCATGCCCCTAGTGTGCTAAGCCATTAGGTATTGGAAACTACATTTTTGTAGCTGGAAATTTATATCCTTGGTGATGGAAAGGCACCAAGAAAATTCTGTAATTTAATGTTTTTCAAAGGAAATTTCACTGCCTGTTTCTAGTATTTAATATATAGGTGAAGCACTGAAAAATAGGTAATTTTGACCTTCTCTGGGTATTTCCTCTTAGTTCTGTGAAGAGCTTCATCATCTTTCCATCTCACTGCCTGCTAAGAACTGCATGCTTAGGATGGGTGTGCACAGGGGACGGAGAGCAGAATTCACATTTATTGAGAGGTAACTATATAACAGTAACTACACCTGATTTTCTCTAATCTTCACAGCAATTCTTTGAATTTTGTGCAATTATCCTCATTTTATACAAGAAATCATTAGGGCTTGGAGGTTTTGTGACTTGCCTGAGTCCTCGCAGTAGAGATTCAAGTTCAGGTCTGTGAACTCTCAAACCTGATTTCTTTCTACCACATCACAGACCCTACCCCTTCCCCAATCTAAACAACTGGGTGATTGCTAGGAGCAGAAGTGCCTGAGAGTGGACACAGAAGGAAGTGGGACTTTCTCTGGTTCTGAAGTTCATGTGACCCTTGTTTTTCCAGATGGGAGCTTTTCCTCTGGCAAGATATTTTTGCTGTTTACATTTAACATGATATGTACAAATACCCATGTTTTTAAATTTGTAACCTGGGTTATTGAACTGAGTAGGCTGCTTTTAAGGATACAGCCATATGTCATTTTACAAGTAGGCTAGGTTCTAAAGTCAGTGGGTAAGTGAAAATCACTATGGCAAAATTGTCTTTGAAAATCCCACAGGAAGGTGTCTTGTTAGAGAGCCATGTACTTTCCTTTCTTTAAATCCAGCACAGCCAGCCTTTCTTCCCTGGTTGAAAAGATCATGGTTTTTCTTATTGAACTTTAAATGATGTAGGTGGCTTATATTTGGGTGGTATATCTTTAAACACCGGAAACTCATTCATTGTGGTGAGATGCTTACAGTATGAAAAGTACTCTAAAATTTAGGCTGAGATAAGGAATGCCAAATTCATATCTTATTTTGAGGCTTGTGCTCCCTCAGTGGTTCTCAAAATTTTAGCCATACACCAGAGTCACCTGGATGGCTTGTTAAACTACAGATTCTAGGATTCTACTTCCACAGTTTCTGCTTCAGTAGTTCTGTGATTCAGCCAGAGGATTTGTGTCTTATCAGGTTCCAGGTGATGCTCTTTCTCCAGGGAACTCAACTAGGGAGCCACTGTACTCATCGACTGGAAGCAGGTGGAAGCACTGTGTCTGTTTCTCTTGCTCTCTTTTACTTTTAGGCTGAGTGGGTTAGTTTAATTAGTTTAAGTTAAACTTGGGGACTGTAGCTCAGCCAACTCTTAATCCTGTTGGTTAACTTACTACTTGGCCCAGAACAAGTACTTGACTCATTCAATACATGCTTGTTGAATGAATGAATGAATTAGTGAATCAACATATATAATGGGAGGGGTTTTTAGCACATGGACATCATTATTATACATACGTATCCTATGCAAGCTACTTATTTTCCTGAAGGTAGGCATTTTTTACATCAGAATAGGACCATATATGGCAAGTATCATGGGCATTGAGAAGTATGCCATTAGTTGCATTTTGAGAAACGTGCACTTTGGGATCCATACTGTGAATGTGGTGGGTATGTGTAGATGTAGCTGGGTACTGGGAGTCCTGTCTGATTCAGAATGGCCTGCCTTGCCTTGCCATCTTATAAAATATACCAATTTCAGATTTTTCTGATAGCCTCTCCAGAATGTCTTCAGCTTGTTCTTCTGCCCTGTGTATTTCCTGGAAACTGGAAATTAGATCTAAAGGCTGAAGTAAGATGCAGTTGAATATTTTTGTCAGGGATTCATCATAGGTGATTTTTGTTTTGTGCTGTACCATGCGAAGAGATACATAGCCCCTGCCTGCATCCCTGTCAGTGATGCTGACTCACATTGATCAGTAGACTAAGGTAATGACGGTCTGACCCTTATGTTGTGAAGGTACAGGTTCCCTTTGTGAAAAGAGAATACTTCCTGTGATACGACTTTGGCACTAATATGAATGTTCATTTCCCTGTCATCCATTCTCTTAATGCTTTTAATGCTGTTTTATAATTTTTGCCTGAATCAGTAACTTCATTAGGGTTTACAAATCCATCATTTTTCCAATTCTGTCATTCCTTCTGTAATAGCTGACATTTAATTAAACAGAGGTCTTTTTTTTTTCAATCAACTGGGACTATTTGGTACCCTGAAATACAATTCTGCTGCAAAGGCAGGTTTAAGGTTGAGTTCTTTACTTTTTTTATTCCCAATTTCAAAGGAGTTGATTTAATAGACACGTTTTATGGTGCAAATGAATATTTTTCTTGCTTTCTCTTTTTTGATATCCTTATGGACTAGTGAATTTTCATGAATTGAATATTTTAATCATTTACAAGTATTATTCTTATTTGTATTCAATTTGTTTTCTATTCAGTTTATTAAAACTTGACCCCGTGATAATCTCTCCTAGTTGGTTCCTATGTCTGTTAGACATAACTTTATTAACTTTTGAATGCTTTCCTGCTTCCTTGAACAGCAAAGTGCATAGCTTTGACTCATAGCTTCCGTGTCTCAGATGTCAGTCAGATGCACTACAAACAAGCCCTGGTTCCTTTTAGTGGGCAAAGGTGTTAGACACCAGAACCCGGGACCGTGCAATATAAAATGTTAGTGGGGTGATAATGTTTATAAACATTTTTCAGTGGTCTATTTATTTTTTGAGTTTTTATATTGAAAGTTTGAATAATGAAAATGGTTCAGATGGTAAGAGATATCTATACCTTAAAAACTAATGGGTTCACCAAATAGGAAAAAACAGACTCATATAAAATGGAATGACAGCTATCAGAGGGAAGGAGTTGGGAAGCTGGGCGATAAAGGTGAAGGCATTAAACAAGAAAATACCAACCAACCAATAAACAAGCCAAAACCCCAAAACTCATAGACATAGATAATAGTATGATGATGACCAGAAGAAAAAGGGGGCAGAGAGAGATAGAAGAAGGTAAAGGAGGGATAAATGGAGAAAAAGCAGACTGGTTTGGGTGGTGAACACACAATACAATATACAAATGCTGTATTATAGAATTGTACACTCAAAACCTATATAATTTTGTTATTCAATGTCACCTCAATAAATTCAATCATTTTTTAAAAATTAATGGGTTCACATCAGTATTTCCAATTCAATTTTAACATTATTATGTTTTAAAGTAGTTACTTGACTTTATAATTGTATCTTTTATACTTAAAGTCTTGACCACCAATAACATTGCTTTAGTTTATGATATAAAGAAAATAATTTTGTTTTCTCTTACAACAGAGAGAAAATAGCAGTATCAATATTGCTACTAAGAATAAGTCAAATGAAGTTTAACTTTTTGTGATTTTTGTAGCATAGGTTGATTTTACTGGAAAAATAAATTTAATTACTTTTTTGTTGATCTCATTTGATTACTTTCCTTTGTAATATGTGTTTTTTCTGTTTTGTTTTTGTCATAGGTTGAGCATTTTGAATTTGAGACTGACAAACTTTAGTCAGCGCTACCTAATAGCTGGTCAACACTGGCAGAAAGAGGGTGGATTCATACTTTCCTACACTGGTAATGAAGGGGGCATTATCTGGTTTTGCAATAATATGATATGTACAGATTTGTGGAGTTCTTATCCTCTATTTGTCTTTTATCATAAATAATTAGAAAAATATTTTTCAGTATATATGACCAACTATTACTGTACTTAATTGTGAAATTTTTTTAAAACTAACAAGGAGATAAACTAAATAGAAAAATAGTAAAAAAAAACACCCATGAATATGTGTTTCACAAAAGAATAAATACATATATCCAATAAGCCTGCATGCTCAGCCTTAAAGAATTATACATGAAAAGAATGAAATACTATGTCTAGACAATTGAATTTTAAAAGATTTTTTTATTGTAGCTTTTCTTTAGAGTGAACAAGATATGAGGGAAATGGGAACAGGAATATTAATGGCATGTAGTTATTTTACTGAAATGTGTTTATATTATGGTCTCTGGAATGTGAATACAAAGGCACAAATTTTCATATGTTTGTTCAGTATTAAACACTCTAGAGTCCAGGACTGGTAGGTGTATAGTAGGTGTTCAGTAAATATTTGTTCAATAAATGAATGAATAAATCCTGATCAAAGCCAATGCAAAGAAAAAAATACAAGTTTAATTGTTGAATAGGGTTTGGCAAAGTTAAAGTTGTAGCTATATTTTAATTTAGCTTTACTGTTTTATCATTTTTCTTATATTTATGAAGGTTAAGAATGGTATAGTTGTTAGCTTGCTTTCTTTACTATATTTTCTATTATCTTTTATAATAGTACTTAAATTCATTAACAAAACTTAATTTAGAAGGACACATGATATGTGCCAGAGCTGCCACTAGAAAATGTGACCGTTCTACTAAAAATCTAGATGGGAACTACCTTAAAGAGGGGACTGAGTTCTATTTTCTCCACTGCCAATATCTGCCATGTGCTTGGTACTCAGGATGTCTCAGTGAATGTTGAACTGAACTAAACTGAAAGCATAGATATGAACCCAATTACACTGTGTTATTGTCTGCTACATTTCTGATTATTTCCTTAGAAATGTTAAGGGTGTAAATATGTTACTTGGAAATAAAACAGTTTCCTGAGAAATGAGAGGCTAGGATGTCTATTCTCTTAGATCAGAGACTAATGAAATCAGAACTTGTTTTCTGTCAGATGCCTGCCCTGGTATTCTGTGAAACAACTGAGTCTGCCTTGTCTGCCTTTCTCTTTCTGTGTGACTTCCCCTTATGCCAAGGCCCCAGGGCTGCTTCTCCAGTCCAGGGATGTCCTCAGCTCCTGTTCTTCTGTATCATAGGCCGGGAGCTGTTCCTGCCTCTCCCAGCCCCTGCTGGTCTCACTGGCACTGCAGTGAACTGAAGGCTTGTTGGGGAGTCTGACCTCAGAAGTGGTAGAAGGGAACACACAGTGTAGGAGGAACATTCCAGAGAACTGGCTAGATAGAGCCAGACCCTGGAAGGACAGATCCTAGTCCTTTCCCAGCCCTACACACCTTTTCCCACTTACTAAAATGTTCCACTTATGTATTCACAGATTCTGGACAGTCATTTATTGAGAGGCAGGATATCATAGTAGTCAAGAGTGAAAGCTTCAGCCAACTGATAAAGTTTGAATTTTGGTTTTGCCACTACCCTGTGCAACTCTGGGTGAGTTTCTTACTCAGTGCCTCTGTTTTCTCATCTGTTTTTTGGATATAATAAGAATGTCTATCTTATAGAGTTATTGTGAGGACTAAATAAGAATCAGGCACTTAGAGCAGTGTAGGCACATCATGTTGCTAAATGTCAATATATTACATGGACCTCATTTGAAAAATAATGCCCTGACTGGTGTAGCTTAGTGGATTGAGTGCAGGCTGTGAACCAAAGGGTCACTGGTTTGATTTCCGGTCAGGGCACATGTCTGGGTTGCAGGCCAGGCACCAGTTGGGGGTGCGTAAGAGGCAATCACACATTGATGTTTCTCTCCCTCTTTCTCCTTCCCTTCCTTTCTCTCTAAAAATAAATAAATAAAATCTTTAAAGAAATGAAAAATAAAATACTCCTGAAGTTGAGACAAATAGTCACTTATTACAATGCGGATCAGTTCAAATAAATTGCTTCCTCTCAATGTCTGGGGTCAAGTCCACAGAGGTCTGGCTGCTGTAATGGATGGTCCTTTCCTTTAATAATCTCATAGTCTGATAAGGGTAAGACACACATGTAAGCAAATATTGCAACTCGGTAATAGAGATCTGTACCTAGCACAGTGGTGTTGAGAGGAGGGAGTGATGCACACTGCCAGGGTGTGGCAGGCAGAGGATGATGCCCTTGAGCTGGGTGTTACAGGGTCTAGAGATAAATGGTAGGAATGAGTAGGGTGTTAAGAGGGGAAGTGAGGTTATTGAGATCATCACAGATATCAGGTTGAATTCTCCATCTTCACATGCATACAGCTTTTTAATTTGCCATTTTTTATTCAAAACAAAAACTTTAAGAATTTCTTAATCTTTGTTAGGGAGCAGCACATTAAAAAGCAAAAATCTGCAGTAGGGATGACAAATAGTTTTAATGTATGCTAAATCTAAACCTAATTGATGGATGTTGGCTGCCTAGAATGCTTTGTTGAGAACATTCTGAGGACACCACTGATATGAGTGCAAAATTTCAGTGACTGATTAATGACCAGCAGTGTGTGTGGAAATAAGAATGTCTTACAACACTGGGTGATTGTGCTCTGGAGCCAGTCAGCCCATTTGTGAATTTTGGTGCTGCTACTTCCTGGCCGTGTGACCGTGGCAGGTTATTTAAACTCTTGTGCCTCAGTGGCCTTGTCTGTACAATGGGAATAATACAAATGTGTAGCTCTTAGATTGTTGTAAAAATTAAGTGAATTGATACTACTTATAAGGTGTTTACAACAGTGCCTGACACATTGTAAGCACTCAATTAATATTAGCTATTGCTAGTTACTATTTCTTTTCAAGTAAGTAAGATGAATATAAAAACCCAAGTGAGTCCAGTATGCCTATTTGTACTTTTTTCTCTCATGTTGTAAATGTCTAAGAGTGCACAGTGAACTTAGATATCCTCAGCTCTTATTAGGTTACCTGACAAACAGTACAATTTTAAGACTATTGTAGAAATTATACTGATTCTATGGCTACAGTGTCAGAATAAGGAGAGTTGGAATGACTGTTCATATTTTTTATTTTCTTTCTCTTAGATAAGTTCCTTTAGCATTTCATATAATAAGGGCTTGGTGATGATGAAGTCCTTTAACTTGACCTTGTTTGAGAAGCACTTTACCTGCACTTCCATTCTAAATGAAAGCTTTGCTGGATGTAGCACTCTTGGATGTAGGTCCTTGTCTTTCATGACTTGGAATACTTCTTTCCAGCCCCTCCTTGCCTGTAAGGTCTCTTTTGAGAAATCAGTTGACAGTCTGATGGGAACTCCTTTGTACGTGACTGTCCCCTTATGTCTTGCTGCCTTTAGAATTCTCTCCTTCATTTTTTTAAATTAAAGATCCTACTAGTGACAATGTTTCTTTTTTTTTAAAGATTTTCTTTATTTATTTTTAGAGAGGGAAGGGAGGGAGAAAGAGAGAGAGAGAGAAACATCAATGTGTGGTTGCTGGGGGTCATGGCCTGTAACCCAGGCATGTACCCTGACTGGGAATCGAACCTGCGATGCTTTGGTTCGCAGCCCGTGCTCAATCCACTGAGCTATGCCAGCCAGGGCTAAATTCTCTCCCTCATTTTTACCTTAGCTAATGCAATTATGATGTGCCTTGCTGTGTTCCTCCTTGGGTCCAACTTCTTTGGGACTCTCTGAGCTTCCTGGACTTCCTGGAAGTCTATTTCCTTTGCCAGATTGGGGAAGTTCTCCTTTATTATTTGTTCAAAGAACTTTTCCACTTGTTGCTCTTCCTCTTCCCCTTCTGGTACCCCTATAATTCAGATGTGGGAATGTTTAAAGATGTCCTGGAGGTTCCTAAGTCTCTCCTCATTTTTTTGAATTCTTATTTCTTCATTCTTTTCTGTTTGATTGTTTCTTTCTTCCTTCTGGTCCACTCCATTGATTTGAGACCTAGTTTTCTTTCCATCACTATTGGTTCCCTGTGCATTTTTCTTCATTTCACTTAGTGTAGCCTTCATTTTTTCATCTATTTTGCAACCAAAATCAACCAATTCTGTGAGCATCCTGATCACCAGTGCTTTGAACTGTGCATCTGATAGGTTGGCTGTCTCTTGGTCACTTAAAAGTATTGGTTCTAGAGCTTTGATTTGTTCTTCCATTTGAGCCTTTTTTTTTTTGGTCTGGTCACACTTGTTACATATGAGGGGCAGAGCCTTAAGTGTTCACCCAGGGTGGGCACCCCAGTCACTGGGTTGTGACGCTGTATGTAGGGATGGGGTCAGAGAGGGAACCGTGGCGCTTGCTCCTCTCTCTGTCAGATTTCAGTCCCCTCTGCTGCTTTCCACAAGCAAATTGGGCCCTTCTGGTGCTGGTTCCTGGGTGGGTGGGCTTGTGTACGTTCTAGGACCCTGTGGGTCTCTCCAACAAACTCTCCTGTGAAGTTGGGAGTCTCTCCCAGCACCTCAACCTCCACAAGTGTTTTCAATCAGTGCTTTTAGGCTTTATTTCCTGGTGCTGGGGTCCTGTACCCCAGGTCTGTCTCACTGCCCATTTTCACCTGGTTTATCTGTGCTCAAATGTGTGACTGCAGACAGCCAGCTGCCTCGCGTGCGCCTCACTGGGTCTGCTTGTTGCCTCCCCGTGCCCATGCCTGGGGTCTGCCACTAGGGTCCACTAGACTCTGCTTTTTCCTGCCCCGACCCCTCTCCACCGGCCGCCAACTCCGCCCCTCTTACTGGTCTGGATGAATGGTTGTTGGGACTTCTGTACAGTTCAATTTTCTGTGTGTTCTGGTTGTTTTTTTTGTTTTTAAATTTTTGTTGTCCTTAATTTTGGTTGTGCAGGGAGGCACAGAGTATCCACCTATGCCTCCATCTAGGCCGGAGTCCTCTTATCATTTCTAATGTTGGTCAGTCTTTAATTCAGTGTGATGAGGTTAGCCTTCCCAGGTCAGTCTTAATCTATGGCTGCAGAGACTGTGGGGAGAACTCTTCATTGTTTCTAAAATGTCAGTAAATTATTGGGTCCACCACTAGGAAAAATATAATGGGAAGTGAAATGATTGTTAAATTAGGTGTTTTTCAGTAAAATAAGGACGATGTCTATGATTCATTGAGGCCAACTGACCACTTGGATTCCCTTTTGGCCTCTCCCATTCTCATAAGGAGCTTTGGCCTTGGCCATGGACTCTACACCTAATAAACCAAGACACCTTTTCCTCAGCTGCATCATTCTAGTGATATCCTTGTGATTCTGGCTATATGATTTTGTCATCTATACTGTTATTTACTTAATGTTTTCCCTTAAGCAGTTTGCTTTTCAACCTTAGCACTACCTTAACAAGGGCTTTATGTACTAGTTATATTTTCTAAGTTATATTAAAACAACTATTAAATTAAAAATATTTGTGTAATACCTAAGATCATCATACTTGCCACCAGTATACATATACCATGCTTTTGAGGAACTCTGAGTTAGAAGATTTTGAGGTCAATTATTTTTCTTAACTGCCTGTTTTGAAAAGAGTTTTTTATTTTTGTTCTCAGAGGTTTTATTATCCTGTATTATAATAAATAAAAACTCCTTTGTTGTAAATGATAAGCAGATAATTTGTTGATATTTGTGGGCTTCATTCAAAACTATTTTTTAGCTTATTATTTTGCATAATTATCTGACTGGGGGGAGGTGACAGGTCCTGAAACCACTGGGAAGTAGTCAGCTTGTGGTAGATAGAAACATAACCTCCTCTGTTAGGTCCCTATGGTTCATACTTTTTAGCAAAATGGAGCTAAGTGCTCTCTTTGATATGCTGTTTACCTTTGTGTGCTCACAGAGTTTGTCAGTTGCCTGGGATATTACAAATATTGTGCAATGACTGGGAAAAAATTTCACTGAAGTGTACAAGTGCCATGAAAACAAAGTGAGGAATAGTGACAGACAGTGAGAGGGGAGGTAAGAAGTCAGAAGGCTGAAGGAGTAGCTGACACACAGGAATGATGGGACCTATGTGATCCAATGTGCCAAATGATGGGAGGAGTCAAACACGGTGGCCAGACCAAAACATGAAGACCAAATAGGATAGCCTAATAGAGGTATACAGCCATAGCAGTTATCAATTACTATGTACCTATTTCCTCACACCTTGGTGGTTTAAAACAACACTAAACATTTATTATCTCACAGGAATTAAGAGCGACTTAGGTAGGTGGTTTTGTTTCAGGGGCTGTCATGAAATTAAGAAGTCAGCTGGTGGTGCAGTCATCCAAAGGCTTGCCTGGGGCAGGAGGTCCTTCTCCTCTTATGGAGGGTCCACATAAGTGACAGACTAGTACTGGATGTTAGCAAGAGGCATCAGCTTGTCCCCACCTGGGTTTCTACGAAGGCCTACTTAAGGAGCCTCTCAACATGGCGACCAGCTTCCTTCAAAGTTGACAATGCAATGAGAGCAAGGTGACATTACTGTGCTTTTTATGACCTAAGATTGGAAGTCACAAAACATTTCTGTCACATTCTATTTGTTAGAAACAAGTCACTAAGTCCAGCCCAAGTTCAAAGGGAGAGGAATTAGGCTTCACCTTTTAAAGGGAGATACCTCATTAGTCTCCCTAGCTTAGCAAGACTCTGTTTGAGCTTCACCTCCCTACACTGCAGTGGGGAAATTGCCCCTGGGCAGAGACCTAGATGATCATGGAACTTACACTATGAGTGTCCTTCTCTGAGCTATCTGTGTCTCATGTTGCTGTTTTACAATGCCTGAAAATAGTTGCTCTGTGGGTTGTTTTTTTAAACTTGAATTTTATAGTTTACAATAGGCAGGCTAATATGTTTTAGAAGTTGGAGTATCAGAAGTTGGTAAAAATTTTTCTGATAAAGAAGTGTGAGTGAATTTCATTTCTACTAACGATTCTTACTTCAGTTTTCCACATGATTTAGCTTCCATTGCCTACATGGTAGCCATTTAAAATGTTTGAAGATTTGAAATAAAAGTTATAGCAGTTGTCTGTTCAGTTTAGCATTGTATTTCATCACATTTGCTGTTAAATATATTTACATCTATTTCTATTTCTACAAACTCAGCAAGGTATTTGGTAAAAAAACATTTAATAGAAATTATATCTGAATGCAAAATACATTATGCTGTCTCCACATCAGCACTGCCATGGCTTTGTCCAGGCATTTTAACTCAATTGCCTAAAAGTCTATTTGGAGAAAAGCTTATCTGATTCTGGCTTTTTTCTGGATTTACACTATGCCTAAGCTGCTGTTCTGTGCACACTCATACCCATGTTCTTTGTTATTTTTCTTTAGGATTCCAGACACTTGAATTTTCTGACATCAGAACAAGCTCTGGCTGATTTTGGAGAGTTAATCAAACACTTGAAAAGGACAATCCCAGGAACTGAAAACCACCCTGTCATATCCCTGGGGGGCTCTTATGGAGGCATGCTTGCAGTCTGGTTCAGGATGAAGTATCCTCACATGGTAGCTGGGTAAATGCATTTATGTTGGACATGAGAGCTTCTAAATGGTTGTCAAGGAAACCCTAGAGATTTATTTTGGGTAAAACATGTTCTATTATATTATACTGAGATTTCTAGCTTCTATCTAATTAACAGCTATTAATTATTTTATCATCATTTTTGAATAATGGAGGTAAAATGCATAGATTATAGAGTTATATAAATTAGAAATAAGACCAATAGTTGCCATAAATGGACTAATTACTATGTGTCAAGTCCTGTGCTATGCCCTTTGCATATTCAGTTTATTTAATCTTTGTGATGTATGTGAGATATGTAGATCTATGTAATACACAGTCAGTGTTTAATGAGTGGTAGCTGCTATCATAGCACTGTGATTCAGGCAACAGCTTCTGTATTGTATGTGTGTCATAAAGGGTCATCTACCTACAGCAGCATGGAGTAGAAAGAGCACTGACTCTGGATCCTTTTACCATTCACCAGTGGTGTGATCTGGGCAAGGCTGTCTTCCTCCTGAGCCTTTATGTCTTCCTCTGCAGAATGGGATACTGATACTTACATTCTCCTTAAGGTTGCACTAGGATCAGATAAAATATTGGATGTGAATACACTCTGGAAAGTGTAAAGACACATTGCACCATAAATGTTAGGTTTATTTTATACCAAAATCTGTTACTGTATGTGCTCTTCTAGAAAGGTTGCATTGTAAAGAACATTCCTCTTAGTTTTAAAAACAAAGGCTGGCCAACTTGATAGTTATTAAGTTTAGAGAACATAACTGACTCTACAGCTGGAACAAGTGCTGGAAATGTAAATAGAATCTGTAATACAAGAACCAGATCTTGAAAGCACTTTTACTATAACTGTCCTCTTGAACTATTGACTGCACATCTTGCTTAAAATTTTTTATCCCAAATGGAACAAAATTGTTTGCTGTTAGAGATATTTTTCTTCATCTAAAAAGTATAATGACCAGTGGGTGTGTCTTGCACTTAGCAGGCCAGAGGTCAATGTGTCTTGAATTAAATTGAATTTTGATAATACAAAATGATTTAAAAGAGCAGATCTCTCTCATGGCAAGAAAAGCTGAATCAAAATAATGAGAAAAGCCAAGTCTGAACCAATCTGTCTCCATATATGTCTATGTGCTAATAGTGTATTATCCTTTCACATTATTTTACTATTTACAAAGCACTTTATTTTTTCATTGATTCTGCTATTACAGTTGTCCTCATTTTTATCCCTTTGCCCTCTTCCATCCCAAATCACCTACTCCCTAAGGCAATCCTCTGACCATCGCTCATGTCCATGGGTCATGTATATAAGTTCTTTGGCTATTACATTTCCTATACTATACTTTATATCCCCATGGCTATTCTGTAACTACCTATTTGTACTTCTTAATCCCCTCACTTCTCACCCATTGTCACCCACCCCTTTCTCACCTGGCAACCATCTGGTACCTAACTTCTTTTCTCTTGCTACTTTTAAGATTCTCTTATCTTTAATCTTTGGCCTTTTAATTATGATGTGTCTTGGAGTGGGCCTCTTTGCATCCATCTTATTCAGAACTCTCTGTGCTTCCTAGACTTGCATATCCATTTCCTTCACCAAATTAGGGAAGTTTTCTTGCACTGTTTTTTCAGATAGATTTCCAATTTCTTGTTCTTTCTCTCCTCCTTCTGGCACCCCTGTGAAGTGAATGTTGGACCCTTTGAAGTTGTCCCAGAGGCTGTTTATACCACCCTCATTTTTTTGTATTCTTTTTTCTTGTTGTTCTGTATGGTTGTTTTCTGCTTCCTTATGTTCCAAATCATTAATTTGATTCTCAGCTTCATCCACTCTACCATTTTTTTTCTGTAAATTGTTCTTTATTTCAATTAGTATAACCTTCATTTCTGACTAGATTTTTTTTATGCTGCTTAGGTCCTTGTTAAGTTCCTTGAACATCCTTATAACCAGTGTTTTGAACTCTGCATCTGATAGATTACTTATATCCATTTTGTTTAGTTCTTTTTCTGGAATTTTGATCTGTTTTTTCATTTGGGCCATGTTTCTTTGTCTCCTCATTTTGGTAGTCTCCCTGTGTTTATTTCTATGTAGAGCTGCTTTGACCCCATGTCTTGGTTGTGTGGCAAGGTGTGTAGTAGGTGTCCTGTATAGTTGTGTAGTAGGTATCCTGTATGGTCCAGCGGTACAGCCTCCTCTATCACCCAAGGTCTGTACTGAAGGTGCACCCTTTGTGTGGTCTGCATATACCCCCCTCTTGTAGTTGACCCTTGGTTGCTATTGGCAGATCAATGGGAGGGATTTACCCAGGCTAGTCAGCTGCAAGGACTGGTTGTGACTACTGACTACCAACCTCTGTCATCCATGAAGGATCAGCTGTGTAGGGGCGGGGTGGTGGTGCTCTGATGTGGCCTATAGCTGTCCACTGGGTGTGTTGAGCCTGGGGTTTCCTGGGTGGTGCAGGCCAAGTTCAGCCCCCTCTTGTGTTTTGCCTGGGGTACCATGCCTGAACTATAAAACAACCTGAGGTAGCTGCTACTTGTGCTGGGTTTGGAGATTCCCAGGTGAAGCCATGTTGTGGATCAAATCTGGTCCACTAGTGCTGGGTCTAGGGTTCACCAAGGCCAGCTGTTACTTGTTTGATAGGATTTAGGAAGTTGTGAAGTGTGAGCCAAGACCAGCCTTTCATGTGGAAAAGTGTCTTGTGTGGGCCCCATAAAATGAATGGGCCAGAGTCTCTAGGAATCTCCAAGGCAAGTCAAACAGTGTTATCCAGGTTGATGGAGTCTCAGATATGGCCCCAGCTTATCAGCTCTGTGGGGGGAGAGTTTAGCAAAGGGACAATGGCCTCTGCTCACCTTGGTGCCAGATACTTCTACTTCTCCCTGTGTGCCACTGGTGCCTTTCAAGCTGCTACCCCAATGCTGGAGCTCAGAGGGAGTGACTCTGAGTAGGTGAGTCCATGTGTGTGTTCTCTCAATGGAACAGCTTGAGGCTCTGGCATTTTCTTCCACCAACTCAATCCCCGCTGGTTTTTGTGGCCAAAAGTTGTGGGGACTTATCTTCCTGGCACTGGAATCCTGGGCTGGGTGCTTGGTATAGGTCTGGGACTCGCTTTCAAGACATTCCTCCAAATTTGTATCTACCACATGTGGGTGTAGGACCAGCCTGTGCTGCACTCTGCCTCTCCTGCCAGTCTGAATGAATGTGGTTTCTTTAATTCTGTAATTGTCAGAACTTCATTCAACTCGATTTCTGATGGTTCTGAGTAATGGCAGTTCTACATTTTAGTTGTAATTTTGATGTGGTTGTGGAAGTGGTGAGCCATGTCTGCCTATCTTGACTGGAGGTCTACAAAGCACTTTCATAGACACTGTCTCATTTAATCCCCACAAAAGTACTGTGGGAAAAAGAGGTATAATCCCAGTTTTATGGAGAGGAAATTTAAGCTCAGCAAAAGGTGAGGATGTAGAATTGAACTCAGGCCTACCATTGTTCTGAGCCTACGATCTACCACATTACACTGGGGTAGGACAAGACTGTCTGAAGGTTTCTGTGGATTGCTGGCCACAGTGTGACAGTTATCAGATTTAATTCTGTCCTCCATATACAAAGTGAGAATTACGTCTGTATGTTTGCCCACCTGATAACAAATGAATTGTCAGATGATAAAAACATATGGAATTCTCCTGTTTTTTAGAACAGGGTTTGGCAAACTTTATCTATAAAGGACTAGATAGTAAATATTTTAGGCTTTATGGGCCATATGGTTTGTGTCACAGATATTAAAGTCATTAGGTATCATAAGGAAGTAGTAGAAAGTAGCCATAAACAATATATAAATGAATGAGGATGATTGTATTCCAATAATACTTAATATTTATAAAATGGGCAGTGGGCTAGATTGGCCTAGAGGCTGTAGTTTGCCAACCCTGATTTAGAAAAAAGACTAGAAGAATATAGCTTTTTAGTGTTAATTGGTTTATGATTTGGAAGTGAACAGTCTAACATTGGTTTTCTCCCCATTTCTTTAATGTTCCTTTTAATATATTTTTCTGTTGAGTCTTAAATGTAAATAAATATTCCATTTTTGTCTCTCTTACATAATCACTCAAAATGAATGGAGTATATCTCAAATATTTTGTCATCTGTTCTTGATTTAGCATAATCTATCTTTTACCTTCTGTATACATGCATTATGAAAGTTCATTTTTAAGGCAAGATAACTTTGTGTCTGTCCCAAAGTCAACTTTTACCTTTTTAATCCAGGATGAGTTATTGTCATTTTCTTCAATTATTTCTTACTGACTTTATCCTTCCTTTTGACATTTTAAAGAATTGTTGATTGCTCATGATATATTCTGATTCTGTTTCTTGTTGGTACCCCACCAAAAATAACCTCTCTTTGCCTCTTACTTGAGAAAATTTGATTACATCAGTTTTCAGTTTCATCCTAAATGATTTCAGAATTTTCCACTATATGTCTCACTCCCAGACTTGTAGCTTCAGATCACTTTCTTTCACTGTTCATTCTATTTCTCCTTTCTTGACCCCTCTCTGTTCTCCCAACCCACTAATCCCTGGAACACTACCCAGTCGGGGACCTCTCTTTCACTTGGATAGTTCCATTTAACCAGGACTCCTCCTCCCTCCGATACACTTCCTCCTTTTTAAAGGGCTGACAAACAGCTGTCCTTTTCTTTTGTTTCTTTTAAAGCTTCCCTTTTATATTATTTTATTTTTCATTAAATGTATTGGGGTAGCATTGATTAATATGATTATATAGGTTTCAAGTGTACATTTCTATGGTACATGATCTGTATATTTTGTGTGCCCACCACCTAAGGTCAAATCATCTTCCTTCACCATATACCTGGCTTCCTTTACCCTTTACTACACCCTTCCCTCTGGCAACTGCCATACTGTTGCCTGTTCTATGAGTTTGAGTTTTATGTCCCACTCTGACTTAGGATGGTGAGATAATAAACAATAGTTGGGTTATGG